ATATATATATATATACATATGCCAAGTAACATTGTATCAGTCTATCTATCATCTATATATCTACACACACACACACACATAGGCTATACAATAAAATATACATACACTTGCTCCCAGCTTGATAGTGATTGGTGTAGGCTTCTTCGCAGTCATGCTAAACCCCAGTTTAGATATTTTAGATGGTGCTGGCTTGCTTTTAGACTCATCTTCGAGGCCAATCTCATCAGCAGACCGCTTTCGCAGACTGTCCCCTGATGCCGTGCTGGAAGAGACAGTCTTAGTTTTCACACTGCCTCCCTTCTCTTCCGGTCCTGCTGGAGGCGAAACAACTTACCAAGGTGAGCGACTGTTGGCTTGGAGACCAAAGGTGAGCTACAGTTACCTGAAAGACTAACCAGTTGAGTAAGAAGTAACAGCTGTTCTTGCGCACAGTTTGCTTTTCTTTTACATTTGCATGTCTTACTATCAGCCATGATTATTCTACTCTGTTTATTAAAGGGCTGTTTATATGCATATTCACAAATTATGAGAAGCATACATGTAAGAGGCTGACAATTACCTGAACATATACTTGTTTAATTAGTAACACTTAGCCTGCATTTTAAAAACTTATTTGAATGTGGCAACATTTTAATTTTTAAACCTGTATCTTTACTCTAAAATATTTCTATGAATAAATCTCTGACAGAGACTATCAGCCAATCACTGTGTGCATAGTCAGTAAGCATACTGACATCATCCATAGCAACGAGGTCAACCCCGCCCTTAATCTTAGCTTCAGACTTCTCTCTATTCCTTAGTAAAAGTTTGTCTCAGCAGCTTTGTGAATATGTTTTAAGAGAAAACTCTTAGCTAAAATTTTTTACTGCTATTTAGGAGAACTCTTAGTGGTAAGATAAAATGTTTTGTGAATACGGGCCCTGATCTTTTAACATATAGTGTAGTTTTGTCAAAAGTACCGACTTCGGTACCAGTCTGTACTGAAATTTTAAAAACGTTCCATTTCAGCTAAAATTTGAGCGCTGTTGGGCCAATTCTTAAAATCAACGTTTTTAAAATTTCAGTACCGACTAGTACCCAAGTAGGTCCTTTTGACAACACTTATATTGAAATATATATTACTACAATATGGTAAATATCACAAGGACAACATTAATATTAAATTAATAAATTAGAGAATGATACTTACATCATCATCCTCATTAAAAACAGATGCAAGTCCAGCTTTCTTGGCAGGTAAGGCAGGTGTGGGTTCTTTAGGTTTCTAAAAGAGAAGCAATACAATGCAATTTTTAAATGTTCAAAATTAAAAACTCTCAAACAAGCATTATTTTTAGTTATTTTAAACAGTTACCTGAAAGATGAGGGATGCCAGGAGGACCTGCTCAGAGAGACGCTGTTGAGCTTAAAATCTAATTGATTAGTTTGATTCATTTGATTAGCACTAACTGTCTTTAAATAGCTCTTAACTGACACATCAATAAAGCCACTTAAAATACATCAGGCTGCTTTCAGCAACACGTTGAAGCGGATAGGACAAAATCCCTCTGCAGCAGCGCAAAAAAAAAAAACCTATCTCTCCTGTTCTTCTGCTTACGAACACCATTCGACGGGAGGAGAAATAACGCTATCTAGCGTACAGACTGAGTAAACGACCCTAAAGGCTTGTCACTACTTGTCTACACTGGCTAGATGACACAACCCCCCAAAGTAAAGGTTTTAGGTTAAAAAAACTGAAATATAGTCGATAGGTTGGATGAGAGTAAAAAAGAATCTATCTATCTATCTATCTATCTAGGCCTATCTATCCTGCTTTTTTACTTTTTAAGTGGTTAATAAAATATTGACACATTAAAGACAGATATAGCACTGTAAACAACATTGAAAACAATGGAAGAAATATGTCAATGTTTTAAAATAATTTTAACTCAATGTTTTTCATGTTTGTATTTATTTATTATGGGCCTATTCATTTTTTTCCCCCATTTATTATTTGTATTTATTTTTAAATTATTAATTAAGTTATTTTTATTTTTTTTTGTAAATGGAGCATACAGTATTTCATATTGTTTCGGTGAAAAGTGTTTGCACATAGTTTGAACAGAATTAAATTCCATTTAAATAATCAACATTTTGGCTACACTTTACAATGAGATCCCATTAATTAGCATCAGTTAATGCACTAACCTAAATCAACTAACACTGAGCAACATTTGTTTATTTTCTTGTTTGTTGGTTGGTTTTTAATTATTTATTCATTTTTCTTAACATTAGTTAACACAAATACAACTTTTTGCTAGTTCATGTATTAAATATTAACTTTAATAATGCATTAATAAATGCTGAAATTAACTGCATATGCAATTCAGATTCTCTATATTAATGTCCAGCTGTATTCATTTATAAAAAATATTGATGTGTTGCTGTACATTTCCTTACACAACTTACCAGCATATACAGTTTCAGACAGACTGCATCCAGCATGGGTGAATTTGACCTCCGACATAAGGTAAGCAAAATCTTTTTAAAGATACACATGCATCAGCATTTTTATGTTTATTTTTGGACTTTTGTCAGTGAACTGCAAATGATGTAAGCTGATTTTAAACTTGCATCACCCATATAGTTGTCTCTTATGTAGTATCTTACCAGATACTTTTGTGTTTCATGTTACGACCAAATTCATTAGCGTACAAAAGAACAACTCTGTGTACTTTTGGAAAAAATTTATTGTGAAACGACTGTGTGAAAATTGGGATGGGGGAAACTGGCAGCCTGGCCACAGCAATGTCATGTGCCTTTAACACACAGCTAGCGGTGCTGTTGTAACCCCAGATGGGTGGAGAAAGAAGAAACCAACCCTCACTTCATGAGTGGCCTTTTCTTTCTTCCCCGGTCTCCATCCGACTGTGGACGGTCGCCCCGGGCGGAACAAGAAGGCAAGGAGGGTCATCTGCATGAAAGGACGATGTAACTTCCAAAAAAAAAAAAAATAGTGATCGAGAGGGTAGAAAACAAATAAAGGGGAAAAAACTGAATGGTTTAGAAGTGACATCCCATAGTCCTTTTTATTGATTGGTCTTCAAAACAGAATGGATGTCCTGACACCATGGGGTCTGCAGATATAGTTCAGCCTTCTTCACCACTCTCTCAGCGGACAGCCTCTTACACGGACAGGATGTGCTTGACGAAAGCTGTAAGAGGAGAAGCAGACACGCATAAGGAATGATCATCCCTACTGGCTCACCATACAAAGCCTGAGGTGGCTGCTAAAAATAATGGACGGGATGATTCAGTGACAGGTGAGCTTATTATATCATTTTAATTAGTGTCGAAAAGACTCAGTACAGTCACTGTTATGCAATGTGTCCTAAAAGAAGCTAGAAGGGTTCAATCGGAGCATACCCTCATAGTGGACACTGCCGTTCTCATCCTCCTGTCCCTGCATGAGAGACTCGATCTCGGGCTCGGACATCTTCTCACCTGTTGGTGCCATGAAATGTATTGGTTAGGAATAATTTATTTCCGATACTTTTTGCTTAATAAAAAGTACCGCAGTATTATATGCTATTTTGGACATGCACCATGGTCATGCCAGAGTACCTATCTATATAAATATGGTGATAATCATATATAAATATGGTAATAATTCAGTATTCTTAATAAAATTCATATATTCATCATTCATAACTATAATCAATCAATAATTTATTTAAATAAATAAATACATGTATTTTATAAATTGCAAATATATTTTGGCCATGTATCATGGTAGTGCCATACAATTTTTTTAAAAGAAATTAATCCTTTTATTTAGCAAGGACACATTAATTTCACAGACAGATAGATAGATTTAAAATACATAAATATAATGAAATTATATAAAAATTATATAATTACATAAAAATATAAAATATATACAAATATTTCATAATTTAAATTGTATTTTTAATTAAATAAATGCAGCCTTTGTGAGCATAAGTGACTTCTTTAAAAAAACAGTAAATCACAATACCATGATATTACCATCTGATCACTGTGCCAAGATACAATCATTTGTTTTGTAAGCAGAGTATATTATGCAATTTACTTTCCCATGCATGGTGTGAACTACATAATCATTTCATCTTCACTCACCCAGTGTTGAGAGCACAATGCGCAGCTCAGCGCCCATCACTGTGCCATTGCCCTCTTTGTCGAAGATGCGCAGACCCTCAACGTAGTCATCATAGGTACCCTTCTGGACGGCGTCAACGGTCTTCAGCATTGGCAGGAAACCATCAAAGTCAAGTCTTTTGTTGGCCATATCTGTGTGCATATAGTTCCACATATACATCACAAATCAGTGAGGCTTTGTAAAGCATTTAGAATTACGCCCGTTCCTTTTTAATATAATGTAAATATCTTACCGTCAGCAGATGGGTCACCCAGGATTTTCTTCACGTCCTTGTTGGTGGGGTTCTGTCCCAGGGCACGCATGATGTCAGCAATCTGGTTGTAGGCAACCTTGCTGTCACCAACTCTGTCGAAGAGACCAAAGGACTCTTTGAAGTCTGTAACAGAAGGACAACAGAAGGTTATCTGGAAGTAGATTTTAAGGGTGGATCATAATGTCATCATTTGAACTAATGTACAAAATAGAAATGCATAAAACAGCAATTTATCTCACAACATAGCACCAGACAAAAATAAATTACAAATTGTATTTTATTTTATTATTTTGCAACAGTTTAGGGACATCATTGCTTTAAAATTAGGTAAAGTCGAGGAAACTTAGTATCTTAGCAGTGCCTCCTCTCCCACATCTCTCCTTTGCCAACTGTACATGCCAATTTAAACAGAGCTTAGCAACTGCATTTCCATGGGCCGTGAGGGAGACCAAGTTGAAAGTGATCTGCTGACAGAAAAATAGCATCCTATGACTTCTGTACTCCAGCAGCTGTGCACGAATGTGGCACTTAATGCGTGACGGGACAGGCGATACCCTCAGAGAAAGTAGCCTTTGCCATACATAGTTACGGTGCTTTACGACTGACCCAAGTCAAATACAAGAATGCTACAACCAACCGCATACTCTCTGCACCTAAATGAGCAACACCGTGCTGTGAACTGGCCGTGAGGTTTGGTACTCATGAATTCTTTCTGTAGAGAAATATATGGATCAGATATATTTTGACTACTACATCACAACATGGTACAGCAAATAATTCACTCGACACACGCACTGAACCAACTGACAGTACTCAATTTATCAGTTAACTAAAACAAATATGTATTAAAATACATCTTGCTTTATGGTTTGCAATCAAGGTCTCAAATATTCTTATTTAACATTAATCAGTTAATAATAATAATTTAAAAACTGTATAAGATTCCTGAGCAGTCTACACTTCAAAATACAATATATATGAATTTTAATAAATTATGTGATATTATATATAATTCATAAACAAACTAACATTAATAATAATATTAATCAAAAAAAAAGTATTTTCCTAATTTGTAATATTTTTTTTTCTATTCTCCAATTCAAAATTTTTTTTAACCTCTTATTCATCCACAAAAATGTCTTTATATATTTAAAAGCTTCCCAAGTTATTATTTAGGACATTTAGAACCAATTTCAACTTCATTTTAAGTTATACTTTTTTTTTTTTTTTTTTTAAAGTCTGGTGCTATGTTGTGATTTTTTTCTACATCAATTTAACTAATTAAGTTCAAATGACTTGTACCGCCAATTTGATTATAGTTCAAAATTTAAGGAAGCAACTGAACTTGAGTTGAAGTAGTTTTTTTTTTTTTTTATTACAGAGGAGGAATTGCCCTTCATGAATACATGATATCATACATTTCCAACATCCACATTACATTGGTAACAATAAGTACTATAGTCATACAACCATTTCCAAATCATAATAAACTCTGATGTGCGAAGACTCACCCTCAATCTGGTCAGCAGAGAATTCTCCAGCCTGCCAGAAAGACAACAATGGATCAATCCCACTGGCAAACCTGCCAACATCTCACAACACACACTATAGTCTGATATAAGGAATTATTTTAAAAGACAGTAGGAAACATAAGCCCTTTTTTGGACATGAGCAAAACAACAGCTTGGAAAGTGCACATATATCCAGCAGGGGAACAAACCAGCTGCATGATTTTCTCTTTAACAGTGACAAACAAACTGGGGTTCTTTATGACACCGCTGTGTCTTGCCCCACCAAAGTCGAAGAAAGGTGTCCTACTTCATTTGAGTGGGCTTATTGTCAGTTTTTGAGCCAGATGGACATGAAAAAGGTACGATAAAATAGCAAGAGTAATCCAAGTACACACCATGATGGAGTTTTGGGGTGCAGGAGCGGAGGGGCAGAAGTCAAGAAGCCGGAGTCCCAGGAGAGTGGTCCTGAGCCATGGAGCAGCTCCTTCTTATTTATGCTATGCTAATGATGTCACGGGGCGGATCCTGCGGCGCCGTGGAACTTCTTTAACTTTCTTAGGTCAAGCTGGAAGAAAGGCTGCTGCTTTCTCCAATGTGCATGCGTGGCGGTATTTTTAGACTATGCTCCAGGCTGCTTGTAAGACCCCTTGGCTTCGGTCAGCACTTTAATTTGATGTATTGTGTCTTTATTTACATAATTTCTGAATATTTTTTATCCTTAGTCAGGGATGATTGAATGTAAATCATGTTATGCCGACACAACATCTCAGGAAGGCTTTTGATTACAATGTTGATATTTTAAACTTGCATATGGAAGTCTCGGCCACTTATGGTTAGATGGGAAGCCGGGGAAAACAGTCCTTAAAGATTATTTTCACAGCATGAATGCATTTGCATTTTGGCTGCATTTCTTTCTCAAAATATATGACATTGTCCATGCTAAAAATAGTGTTTTTATTAAAACAAGGGTTAATAAAATAAAAATAAAAAAATTTCTTTTTGAAACTGATCGGCTGTAGACTAATGAAGTGCATGTGAGGCCTATGACCAATTTTCTAATTGAAAGGAAACAAGTTGACAAAAAGATTGAATCCAACAATATAGAATAATAATGAGAGATTTTTGTAAGTCGATCATTTTTGACTGGAAACACCACAAGTGTAAAAAGGTGGGAAAAATCCTCAAAAGGTACAAAAATTCTTTTTTGGAAAGTTGTTATACCTTGTGTGGGCAAATCAGTAACTTTTAGGCCAGTGACAAATAACATGGAAAAGAAAATCCTCTCTCAAAGTGACCAGAACACAACATGAGGGTTAAATGTCACATTACAAATAGTGCTATACTCACTATGGAAATGTCCTGGTGAAACAGCTACAACTAACCAGTGCAGTTAGCAGATCAGTCATTACAGTGTTGCTCTGTGTTTTTCATTAGTTATGTAGTCAACACTTTTCAGCCGGGATTGTATCACCACAGTGCATGCATTACAGTCTTCCTTGTGACAAGCTCCTTAACATGTTTGCTAATCCTCATCTTCATTTCATTCTATACTTTCACATGTGATATGCTGTGCTTATGCTGCAATGTTTCCTCCGAAGACACATAACACATATACAGAGCGATCATATGGTTTTAGAAGATCTGTGTTGTGCATCATTTGGGCTATACATGGACTACATTTAGTTATATAAATGAACAGCTAAATAAATGAATCATTATCCACACACCAGCTTATGCAACACAAGGCATTGATGAGGCAATTGATGAGGCTGCCTTGGTCCCCTAAACTTTTTGAAAACACTATTAAAAATAATAATAAAAAAAAAAAAAGTGGTAAGAGCAAAGAGCAGAGAAAAAAAAGAGTAGAAAAGAAAAAGAGTAGAATTAAAATAAAAGTTGGAATATTTTGTTCAAAAACATGCATAATGTTCAAAAGGACGTACAAAGATTTTTATTTATTTTTAAGAAGTCTCGTAAGGCTGCATTTATTTAATCAAAATACAATAATTAATCAGTAATATTGTAAAATATTATTAGAATTGAAAACACCTGTTTTCTATTGTAATACATTTTGATGCAAAGCTGAATTTTCAGCATCATTACTCCAGTCTTCAGTGTCACATGATCCTTTAGAAATCATTCTAATACGCTGATTTGCTGCCCAAAAAAACATTTCTTATTATCAATGTTTAAAACAGTTGTCCTGCTTAATATTTTGTGGAAACCATGAGATTTTTGTTTATTAGGATACTTTGAAAAAATAACACTTCTTTCAAAAGAACAGCATTCATTAGAAATAGAACTTTTTGTAACAACATAAAAGTCTTTACCATCACTTTTGATCAATTTAATGTGCCGTTCCTGAATAAAAGTGTTAATTGAAATAAATAAATGAATAAATCTTAATAACCTTAAAATTTTGAACAACAATCACAATAATTTTTGCAATCTGGCCCATATCATAATAGTGCAGTATTTTTTTGTATTATCTGTCCTTCAGTCAATTAGATGTGTTACTACAAACTAGCAGCCAACACAGAGACATTCCAGTCCTGCCCTGAGACCTTGACTCTTCCCTCTGAATGCTGCAGAAGCCATGGAGCTGAAGACCTCGCCCCTGGGCAGATGAGCTCTATATTTAGCCGTTCTTTTAGGAGGTGTAGAGTTTCTCTGAGAGGGTCGGTAGCACCTCAAGGGTGGTTGGCACGTCTTAGCCCTTTACACCGCCACGTCCAACCGAGCGAGCGAACTCGAGATCGTAAAGCGGCTGCTCAGGTTACACTGCTCTCTTCTGACATGGGATCAGTCCCTCAGATCTCTGGGACTGCCAGTGCAGTAACACCCCACATACAGCGAGCCTGATCTCAGATCAGCTAGAAGCAACACCGAGGAGACCAGAGCACCTCAAGGGTGGTTGGCACGTCTTAGCCCTTTACACCGCCACGTCCAACCGAGCGAGCGAACTCGAGATCGTAAAGCGGCTGCTCAGGTTACACTGCTCTCTTCTGACATGGGATCAGTCCCTCAGATCTCTGGGACTGCCAGTGCAATAACACCCCACATACAGCGAGCCTGATCTCAGATCAGCTAGAAGCAACACCGAGGAGACCAACGTTTAAAAAAAGCTGTCGTATAGGCCAAGCATTGTCCATCAGCCCTTGAGAAAGTATGAGCCTCATTTGGATTTGCATGAGGGTATCAAGTGAGAGTAAATGACTCTTTAACTCACTCATCTTTACATGTGAAATATATAGTGGGTTCCAAAAGACAGAGAGCACTTGTGAAAATGCTTCTAAGTTGCATTTTTAAATCCAATATATTTTCACATTTTTAGCAATTTTAGTGAAAACGTAATTGAGAAATTAACATTAAAATTAAAATATACCCTTTTTGATTTATTAAGCTCGAGTTGTATGAACAAAAGCTGATGATTGGACATGAAGGTCCAACATGGAAAATACAAAGTTTAAAACAAAGGTTTGAAGGCTGAACAATTCTTGCAAATTGGCAAAGCAATCCTTTTAATCAATTCAAACAAACAAATGAGGCAATTCTGCATCACTCCAGTGGGATGCCACATTTGTGAGCAGTGTTTTTTATTTCCTCCTTGACTTTTTTATTTTGTGATGTCAGTGATATAGAATTGATAAAAGTAAATGGGGGCTTAGAAATACTTTCTTTGAATGTGTTGAAGGGTTTTTGCTTGTCATACGCTGCTTCTCAAAGGTTTGGGCTCAGTAATTTGCTTTTGAAAGATGTCTCTTAAGCTCACCAAGGCTGCATTTTTTTTGATCAAACATACATTAAAACATTGATTATTGTGAAATAGTATTGCAATTTAAAAGAACCGTTTTCTGTTTTAAAATTGTATTTATTTCTGTGATAGCAAAGGTAAATATTCAGCAGCCATTACTCGTTTTCAGTGTCACACGATCCTTCAGAAATCAGAAGAGATCCTTGTGCAGCTTATTTTTGTGGAATACACATTAAGGATTTTTTTTGACTAATAGAATGTTTTGATTAATAGAATAGAGCAGCATTAATTTGAAATGGATTTTTTTTCCCTGTAACAAACAATTTTTTACTGTTAGTTTTGATTTAACTAATCTTTGCAGTATAAAAATATTTTTTTTTCTTAAAAAAACAAAACAAAAACAAAACTACTTCATATAGAAAATTGAAAGCTTAACTCTTATTATGCATTATGTTATAGTGTATATATATATAACAAGGACCTCTAGATTGAGAACCGAATTATGCTAGTCTATATTTTGCCTTTCATTGCTCAGTTCGAAATAAAACAAGGCTCACATGCAGCTATAGAAAGTATAGCTAAATGAATAAATCACAACTTCCCAAAATACCAAATCATATTAAATCAGAGATTTATAGCTCCATCTAGAGGACGAAAGGTGTGGTAGTCACCTCCAGAAAACTTGACATTGTTAATGTGATTAGACCACCTATCAGATATAACATCCTGTTTTCCTTATTTTTATTGTTGTGCAGATGAAAATGTACAAATGATGACGAAAGACAAATGAAAATGCTAAAAGATTGTTCCACTACCGAAAAAAAAAAAAAAAATTTTGGCAGCACATCCTCTGATATGACTACTATTATTATCAAGAGAGAAAAAAGGGGAAAATACATTACTAATACAGAAGGCAAAGCATTAATCTTACAGAAAGCATATCAACACTGTATTTTTAGTGCTACCTTAAAGCTGTAGTTCTTGTGTAATTAATTAACTCTACTTAAATTCAAAAAGATGTTAAACTTTACCTTGCTGTCATGTCAGAATATATCCTCACAGATACATCGAAATAGTTTATCTTTAATGAGTCATATTAATTAAAATGATACAAACAAACACGTAACGTAACAGCAGCTTCCCTTAATCTATACAGTTAGCCTAGATTCCCATCCACCTTCCATTAATGGGAAAATAATATCACCTGCGTACTGTTCTCCACATGTACAGCACCTCTCAAAAGACTTAGTGTGAATTGTGACAGATCAGCGGTATACAGACACACATGCAGAGTGAGACAGTACTATTCCACCATTAGAGGACGAGTTCTTCTGGCTCGAGGAAGCTTAAGCGAAAAGGCTCAGTCGTCTGGAACGGTCTGGAATGAGAATTTGACGTTAACAAGGGTTTTATTTGCATAATAATGTCTGGACAGTTAAACATTCAAAAGTAGAGGTGTAGTTACCTTTACACCTCAAAAGCAGGGAACTTGGCTCTAGTTGGTTGCAGCAAGTCAGCCAGGAAATAAATTGTGCCTGCCATCCCTTCATGCATGAGAAAATATGACAAACACGGAGGTATAGTAATATAGTGTTTCTTGAGCAGCAAATCAGCAAATTAGAACGATTTCTGAATGATCATGTTACACTTAGGACTAGAGTAATGATGCTGACAGCTTCACCATCACAGGAATTAATTACATTTATAATATATATAAAAACAGAAAACAGTTCTTTAAAATTGTAAGAATATTTCCCAATATTACTGTTTTTACTGTATTTTCGATCAAATAAATGCAGCCTTGGTGAGCTTAAGAGGCTTCATGCATGAACATAAAACATAAAAAAAAAAAAAAA